CTGGACAAATAGATAGAAAAGCACTTAATTTTATGCATGTAAATAAAACATTCACTCCACACCATGATCCTAGATAGGGCTGCTTTCTAAGAAGAGGGCTGCTGGTTACTGCTACAGACTGTCTCTTTAAAAAATTAAGCTGGTTTAGACTTTAAGAAGTTTCATAGATAGTCACAAAATCATCAAGTTGACAACAATACAACAACTGACTTTTTATAGGGAAAGATTTTGAACTGAATACACAACTAAAGGTTAGCGATTGGGCAAGACGATGTCAAACAAGGGAGAATTTAAAATATGAAAATTATACCAATGTGGAAAGAACAATATGACCTGTTGTTATCTATTATTAGATACTATCAAGAGCAGTACACAGGATGAACACCCCTAATCTGAAAGTTGAAAATACATAAACGCTACAAACTCTGCCACATTTTCAGTCCTGATATGATATTGTAAGTAGAAAACTGCATACCCAACCTCATGTGATGGGTCACAGTGAAAACTCAGGCACACTAAAAAGAATTCATAAAACTATAGGCTACATGTCTAAGGAGTATAGAAAACATCAATGAAATTTGTGTTTTGTCTGAGGCCCCCATCCTGAAGATAGCTCATTATGTTCGTGCAAATATCACCAAATCTAAAATCAAACTCCAAATCCAAAACACTTCTGGTTCCAAGTATTTTGGACAATGGACGTGGAACCTGTCGTCTTTTAAGAATGGAGCCACGCACCGTGTCCCTGTCTACGGATCAAGCACCCGCTGCGCTCCTCCTGCACCAGGAGCTAGGGAGGTGCTACCTCCTGGAGAGAGTGCTGGCGCCCCAGTGTGGCTTAGAAGAGCCACTGCCGTTCACTAGCCTTCTCTTTGTCAGCCTCCACTCTTCACCTGAGAAACAGGGATAACACATCCAATCTTCTGGAATTGCTGCAAAAGAATCTGTTTGCTAGGGTGCAGAGTCCTCTGCCTGCTCCTTCACAGAGAAGTGCCTGGGGTGTCTCCATGCAGTTATTCCCCAAGCTCCAGGTTCTGTGCAGCAACAGACCCAGTTAAACATGGAGTTTTCTGGGAGTTTCCAGGGCAGAAGGAGGGAATTTAAGACCAGTCTTGTGTGAGGTGGTGGTTCTCATTTTTCTCTGCATAGCTCACATTTTCACTCTTAAGGTGCATGTCCTCTTACACGAACTCAGCTTTATTTTCTTAATTTCTTTCCCTGGTACTCAGAAATAATTCCAAAAATCTTTTGTGATTCTTCACGATGCCGGGGATACTGTCCTGTGTGATGATTTATAAGATTCAGGAGCTGTTCCCATTAAGGAAGGCCACCGAACACACGAATATTTGAATATATTACTGTAGATCAAAAGCACACAACACATTCACAAGCTTCCATCAAGATTCATAAGTTCCTAGTAAATCCTTCGATGCTAATTAACGGTCAACCTCAAATCAGGTAACTATTTTTTTTTCTGTAAATATTTAGAAATTCTGTAATTCAGCTGGATTCTCACATCATTTAGGTGGTAGGGGATGAAAAGATGGAGATGTGAATCCTTGAAGTAGGAACCAGGGATCACTGGACAGAGACATTTAATGTGAAATTAGAGAGGGTTCATGTCTATCCTGCAAGTGATCCACCCAACCAAGTAAAAGGCTAGGAGTCCAGATGCCTAAGGCATGTGAGCTGCTGAGTTCCGCTCAAGTCATATTTTATCCATGCAACACATATCTAGTGGGTATTTGTCACGTTCCAGCCACTCCGCTAGAATTTAAGAATAAGAACGTGAATCAAGTAGACCAACGGTCTGTTATCACTTTCACGGGGATTTTCATGGGACGAAAGTAAAATGATTAAGCACAGAGCGAAACAAAGAAGAAGAAGAAATTACAAGAGATATCGACAGCACTGAAGTCGACTCTGGTCCAGACAGTCGGATGCCATAAGACCTTCCTGGAGCTCCCATGAGCTGAGACTCCAAGGGGAGTGACCAAAGGAAAGGGCAATAATGAGAAAAGGTTCCCCTGCACAGGGGACAGGATGTATAAAGGCCCTGAGGTAAGAGGAGACCTGGAACATTGCCCAGGGTTCATAAAGGATGGCAGTAGGGAAGGGAGGGAAGGAGATAAGAGGGAAAGAGAGAGGTCAAATCAGGTAGATCGTTATAGGGTTTCGGGTCTTTCCAGATGGCACGAAAGGATTATAAGTTGATAGAGATGTTATTTGATCCTCGCCTTGGGCCATTCCCTGTGTACAGTAATGGGGTGTGTTATCATTTCAGGGGCTAAACTCCTAATCATAGAGCCCTTTAAGAAATGGCCTGATCTAGTCAACGTTAGCAGAGGGGCTACTTGTGAGCTTACCATCACTGTGACAAAATACTTGAGATCAACCTCTAAGAAGGAGGAAAGATTTATTTTGGCCCACAGTTCTAGTCCATGGTTGGTCATTTGACCCAATTGCTTTTGAGAATATGGTGAGGCAGAACATCATGAAGGGAACATATGGCAGAGGAAACTACTCTTTCATAGCAGCTGGGAAGTGAGAGAGAAAGGGGGCGGGGGTGTGGGGTGGAGTCCCAGTATCCCTTTCAAGGCATACCCCCAATGACTTAACTTCCTTCCATTAGACACCTCCCCCACCCCTGTTTCCACCACCTCCCAATGGACATTAAAGGTCCAGCCATAACAGGGGCATGATTTAAGTCTTGTTTGCTTTAATCTAGAAGAAAAATGAAAAGGTTATTTATTAAACTCAATCCTTTGTCATCCATTTACAAAAACAAATAGAAGAGTAATTTTTCCAAAAATTTATTTTGAGAAGTAGATAACCTTTACCTGTAGTAGCCTAGATCTATAAAGTGATTCCGAGTCTGTAATCTCTAAAGTGACCATGGGCACTAAGCTTCCAGAAAGGTTGATTTGTCACTCATCTTGTTTATGATTCACAATCATTCTTAAAAGCATTCTGTGACTCAAACTCATAGAAATTATTGTTTAAAGGATTATTATTTCACTATGCTTGTAGAACTGGCCTGATTTGATTACCAGAAGTAAAACCGTATTCTGCTATGACATTTTTGAACAATCCCTAAACTACTTTTCTTTCTTTTTTTTTTTCTATTTAAAAAATAACCTGAGGTTTATGGGCATCTAGTAATGTGGTGAAGGGGCATAGAAATCCAGCTTTACAAGGGCAGGCCTGGGTGTGAATTCCTTCCAGAACCTTATTTAATCTGCAAACTTGGTTGTTTGTTTTGAAACATTTATGCTTCTATATTTCTTTACTTATATGGATACTGCTTCTTTAGCTTTTTATGATGAATATATACATGTATATACACATATGCATATTTATACTTACCGTATATAAAACTTGGCTCAGAGCTTTCCAATCAGAAATAACAATCAAAACAACTTCTTATTTGCAAGCATCTTTCTCACAGGGGTATGTTAGGCACAGACTTTTAAAACAAACTCAATGAAAATAGAAGGGGAAACTGAGTTTTCAATGACTCAGTGATTCTTTTTAGGAAAATAGAAATATCTTTGGATTCAAATTTGTTTCCCATTTGAAAAATAGATACTTTGTAATATATTAACTAAACTATTTCACGTCATCTCTGAGAATCATTCTCCCTTCTTACCCTGGACTTGTCGCACCTTCCTTTTAAGGCTCAAAGGTGACTGTTGCTTACCTGCTTCTGTTCAGCTGGTGGATTTATTTCTTGTACCTTTTGCTGACATCTCACAAATGGTTAGAGCTAGGGGGAAAAAATCTGCTTTGAATGTTGAGCTGCCTGGTGTTTGTTTAATAGTCAGAGCCACATGTTTCTACATTTTAAAAAAAGATGAGAAAAGAGAAGGATTTTTATATCACAAATATCCAAGGGGAAATTGTTTCAGTGAATGTGAGTGGCCGCTGCTCTCCTTTTTCTTGTTTGTTTCAATTTCTGGTGATAAAGATGCCTGAAGAGTAAGATTGCAACCAGCGAAGCATAAAACACCCGAAGGAGGAGGAGAAAGGTTGGCTGGAAGATAAAGCTCTTTTAGATCTGGGAGAATCGCGCTCCCTTTTCCTTCCCTTTCCAAACCACAGCCGGTCCTGTAATTAGCGGAGCAAGTCAATCTGAGCTAGGCAAATCACTGGTTTTCCATGAAATAATTATATTTCTGATGCTCTCAGACATGTTCACCTCTAAGCCTAAAAACAGAGAAAGATGGTTTTTCTTTTTTTCTTTTTCGTGAGCTGGGGGAGGGAGAAGAGTAGTGGAATCCACAGTGTTACAATGAGCGAAACCAGTACAAGGTAGGAAAGAAAAGGATTCTGTGGGAGCGTGGGAACACTGCGTTCTGCACAGGGAGTTTCAGTGCACAGAGAGAATGCCTTGTATTCGATTTGCAAACTCTCCAAAGGGGAATAAAGTGAGGCTTTTCTAAACTTTCTATACAGCGAAAGTGAGCTCCTTGCTGCTCTCGGTCTCCGCAGCACCCAGGCCGGGGTGACAGCACCCCGTCTTCCTCCAGAGCTGGGTTTCTCCTCCCTACCCTCAGCCTGCGGACTCTTCTCCGGTGCCCAGCGCACCCGGGTGTCTCCTTGCAGGACTGGGAACAAGAGTGCGTCGCGTGGGTAGCGTCGGAACCTTCACTGGCTGGACGCCAGAGGCGGCCTCCGGGGCGGGGACAGCTCCGGCCACCCTGCGCGCAGCGGGGCGATTCCACCCACAGCTCACCGGCCCCGGGGGTGGCAGGTCTTGGCATACGGGACCGACAAGAAAGGAGCACAGTCGTCGCCCCCGCGGCCACCAGGGCCTCGTGTCGCCCGCAGGCTCCAGCAGGTGCGCAGTGCACCGGCCGTGTCCTGGAGTCCTCCCGCCCCGCGGCCTG